CACTCAACAAAATATTGATGAAATAACTTGTTAAATATGGAATATTTGGATTCTGTAGGGGCCATATAAACATCCATCCAGTTTTCACTCTGCAACTTAAATTTAAACATCTAAATGTTCTCCAAACTGTAATTTCGGCAAGATTTAGTTTTGACTTTATCCTTTGGTTTTAGTTTACTACCAGCAATGTCAAGCTCTAATACTTGTCCATCGTGGTCTGATAAGAATGTAATCAGACCGTAAACATATAACTTTACATTTGTGACATTTGTTAAAAAATTATCTATTGCCGATTGACAGTTGTTTACTACCCTTGTGGGAAAGTTGATCACAATATGAAAGTACCGCATATTGTGACTTTTTAACATGCTCTGTAGTTCTTTAAAATTTTTATCTTTTACCATCACATTAATATTTATATCTCCTGCTACTATAATATTTTTACTAAAATTTGAAACGCTATCAACTACAAAACTAAGATTATCCAGAAATACATTAACATCGGCACTTGGAGATCGATACACACCTATCAATACAAACTCATACCCACTAATACAGCACTTGACAGCACAACATTCAAAAACCTTCTCCTGACAAAGTCTCTCTATTATTTTAGGTGATATTTTCTTAACTGTTACATTATTTTTAGCAAATATTGCCACACCTCCTTTAGAAAACTTACTTCGACAAAAATAATTTTTTACAGTGAAGTCATCAATATTAATTTTTTGAATGGCATAATCTTTCATATTGTGTTCAGTAATTACAAGAATGTGTGGTTTAATTTCCTCAATGATTACTTCCAAGCCAATTTTCCGAGATTTTAGATGTTCAATATTTTGGTGTAGTATGATTAATTTGTTTCCAAAATTTGCCAATTCATCCCGCTTGTAACAAGTTTTACGGGCTGTTGAATTATGGTGTGAAATGCTGTTTACATTATTGTTATTGTTATTATTATTATTACTGTGATTATTGATATTGTCAGAGTCCAGAGATTTCCCTAAAGTTTTATTAGTGATATTGAAACCAAAAGATAGATCATTTGTTGCGAAATGATGTTTCTTGTCATTCTCAATTAGTTTAAATGTGGAATCGGCAAAGCTTTGTTAATTACAATGTTAAAATTTGTGGTACTCTCTGATGCAATATCAACAATTTCAGTTTGTAAAAGGTTTACATTTACATTTTTGGTTGACTCCTTACATTTACTGCTATTTACAATTGGAGACCACCCCTTGAATGGACTACCATCACTCAGGAACGAACAATTTTCTAAACCCACTCTCGGCACATCACTTTCACCCCTAGAGACTTTTCCCCCCCACACATCACTGGTCACTGTAACAGCAGGTGTTGTGCTGGTGTTGGGGTCATCAGTAGCCTCTACAGGTGGGCTGGGATGCTGTAGCAGGTGGTGTTGGGTTGATTCGTCGATTGCTGGGGAGGCTTCCTCTGTTGTCTGTGTCTGTGTGTCAGTCCCAGAGCTGCTATCAGTGCATGAAGAGTGTTGTTGTTGAGAGCTGTTGCAGAGAGCTGTCATCGTACAGTCATTAGGGAAGAATAACTGATGCAGTTTTTGAACAAAGACCGCATGAGGAACTCCATTTCTCAGCCTGTTGCGTGATGTGTCGTTTGTTGTGACTATAATTACAGAAGCACCAGTTTCTTGAACAAAATTTAACATGTTAGATGCAAAATGTGGAGGTTTTATTGCGTCACGAATGCAGCCCATTGGGGAACAGATTAACGTCTTCAGGTTACGGGATTTGAAATTCTTGGCTAGTTGTCTAAGAGCAGAATCATATGTGGTCTTGTAGTTGGCAAAATTGTTGGAGTTTAAAAAGTATCTTGGTTTTGTGACTAAGCCATAGACAGAGGGTTCATCCTTAGACTGCTGAAGAAGTAAATTCCTATCACAGTAGTCAGCTTTTGTAGGTTTCCCGAATTTATCTCTGAAAACAGTTGCCACACCTTCACTCATGTGTTTGTTACTTTCAAGATCGCCTGATACACAATGGGCAAAGGCTACATCTTCCATGTTTCTGTACAGTTCTATGACAGACCCCATGTCCTCAACAACAATTTTCAAAGAATCGCCTAAACTTTTAGACACTCGGGTTCCCCTAGAATCAGTGCTGAGAACTGTGTCAGCAATCCTTCTGCACAGAACGCGTTTACCAAACTTATTTAGGTGTTGTCCATGCTTAGTAAATAAGTGTCTCTTAAAATCGCTAGCATCAACCAACTTCAAGTTGTTTGACTGTTTCAGCTCATGATTTATTTTAAATACTTCTTTGTTCACCAAATTGTTCCATGTTAAATCATGTCTATGAAGTTGTGTTACATACACAATGTTTGTATGTCTATTTAATGTTACAAATTGATTAAACTGTCTGCATATTTCCTTAGCTGGTTCTCTGTTGAACAGTGAAACGTTAGATACGTTGTTCGCTCCTGCAATAATTATCACTGTGTCATCATTTGTGAAATTGCGTGTCATGTGGCTTGCGTTGTTGAGGATGTAGTCAACTGTAGCCCCCGAGTTTGCACAAACAAAGGTTTCAAAGTTTTGGGGAAGTAATGGACCTAAAAGGTTCCCAAGCTCCTTACCATGGCTGTCTGCAAAAATATATATTTTTTTCTTATGTTGTAGCCCTTTCAATTCATCTCTATGGTTTGGAACAGTTTCTGTAAGGTCTATTTTATTTACTCTCCTGTTTTTTTCTGAGCTCGTTGTTTTTATTGGAGCGATTCTCTTTTTTGGATTTTTCGAGGGAGGTTTGTTTGATGATGGAAGTCTTTGCGCAGACAAGTTGGAAGAAGTTTTTGAAAAATCTTGTTGCTGATTATCGGCTAAAATTGTATATCTATTGGATAGGGGCAGTTGAGGGGTATTGTTTACAGTTGTCTCAGAACTGGAGCTCTTGGTTAATATTTTTGGTTTTACAAAAGTTGAATCAATATCGTTATTGGTTTTCTGGATCATCAAAGAAGTAAGAGTTTTTGAGTTAACTGCGTTTTCCAAAATGTACGCCAGAGAACATCTTTTCTTAATGCAGTCAATATCATCAAATAGTGGCATGGAGAAGTTCTTGAAGCATTCATTGTTGATGTACTTTTGCAACACGTATTCAACACCTAGTATCAAGTAGATTCCACAGTCATAAGAGTTATTCTGACAGGGACCATCGACGATTTTAAAGTCAACGGTTTGGCTTGGAGACAAGAAGTCTATTAGTTTGTTGGAAATGTGCTTACTTTGTTCGATGTTCTTTAGTGGAATAGAGTCAATGTAGTAAAAACTTGTCATGGTCCTGTGATATATTAGAAGGCTCCAATGAGAGCCACTTTCATTCTCGAAGTCAGTTGAGTCATTGACGGGTATGATGATTATATCTTTCTCTGTCAATTTTAAGGGATCTAGTAGATGATCAGTGTTAATTAGGGACTTGAGGGCATGGCTGATTAACGGATTCATTATACATACACTTGCACTGGATCCAAGAATGTTACTATTTAACTTTTCGAAGTACTTATTCAGGTGATCATCTGTAAGCCAAACAGGCTGGACTACGTTGTTTTGGAGTTTAACATTCATCGTTTGCACAGAATTGTTAAGTAGTTTAATTTGATCATTAGCTTCCTGTAATTTGATTTTCAATTCAGTGTATTTTTTCTCTAGTTCATTTAGATCTTCCTTACTTTTTGAAGGGATTTCTTTAAAAGTATGTACATTTTCTGTGCTTAAAGGTTTTAGGACTTTCTTAGGTGTATTCTTGTTTAAAATAGCACTTGGGTGCTCAGATTTTTTCTGAGAATAAGATCTAGTTTTAATTGCAGGGCTTTCTCTAGCTTTATTTAAAGTTGAATTGTTTTTATTTTGCACAACCATTTTTAGTTTAACTAAGCACAGACGAGATTTGTCAGATTTAAGAACTGAGAACTCGATTCTAGGCTACTCAATTCACCCAGGGACAGTACACTATACTGTTGTAATCAATTTTACTATTTAATTTTCTAGTAAATATCTTTTATTAGAATGAAAATGTGTATGCACTTGCCAATTAATTAATAGTAAAAATGTTCAGCAAGTTAAAATATGGAATTATTTTACTATTTAAAAAAAATAAATAATAATGAGTTAAATTATTAAAAGTCCAGAACAATGTAAACAAACAGACGACACAAGTCCACCTGAGTTACTTGGTGATCCTGACCTTGTCCGGGTCTTATCAGGAGATTTGCGCAACCAGGTCTTATCAGGATATTTGTGCAACCAATTATCTACCACATTCCAACTGTGCTGGACAGATAATGTCCTGGATCTTCACTATCACTAACTATTACACTCTATGTTTTTCTGAACGAAAAGAGGTAGCCTATGTTAATAATTAACTTTTAACTGATAAAAAATAGATTGTGTAGGCTAAAAATAACTGATTTTAAAAGATAAACGAGAGCACTTCCAAAGATTATTTTAGCTATCCGCCATCTTGATGACGTCTCCCAAATCGTACCTACGGCGCTACTGGTTGGGTTGGAGAAAAGATGGAGGCAGTGTCACGCCATTACAATGTGTTCAATATTTTTGGCCGCAACAGCTGATGAGTCGGGTCTTTCCAAAGTCCTCTGAGTTTGCTTGAACGACGAGGGCCCGCACTGTTCCATTAACGCCTATTGTAAAATTGGCCGTAACCGACCAAGTGGGAGTTATGGTCAGGGTCATGTTTCGGGCTAGTGCACGCTGGCTCCAATGACTTAAAATTGCTCGGACACCAATCTCAGTATGACCATCCTCTCCAACAAATTGCTGATATTAAAAATCTGGATCCATTATCTGGGTTACATATATATAAGTCACAAATGCAGTCTTCAGCCAGTTATGCTCGTTAGTTATATGTAAATATTTTTAATAAGCTATCCCATTCATCAGATGTTAAGTTTGTAATGCCTATTTCATTGTAAACTTTCTCACTAACTCTTATTTTACTGTACAGGCCTGAACTGTTAGAGAAGAAACATGGGTCTAGGGAAGATAAGCAATTCCCAACACATGAGTGAGTACCATTTAACTGTTTAGTTACCAACTAGTGGTGTGGGTGGATTTTGTTTCATTACATAATTTTTTCAATTCTTTACCCTCTAGGTGCACATACATTACCAATATTACCATGTATAGAGATGAAAAGTTCACATCACTTGTTGATTATTTTATGCACCAATCCAACACCTTCAGTAATCCATCTTGATCAAATTAAAAAAATGTCCATTGAAAGAAATAGACTTACTGTGATCAGTGCCTGGGGACCGAGCTTTGCTCGGGGGAAATGATTCTCCCACTCTACGATGCCAGCCTTTACTACTTCCTTCACCATTTCCTACATCATGGACCTGTTTCCTTCCCTTCTCATAGCATTTAAGTATTACAGATATATTAATCTTACTGCCACAAATCGTTCCCTCACTCTACGATGCTAAACGTTACTACTTCCTACGCCACTTCCTATGTCCTGGACCTGTTTTTATCCTGTAGTCAGTATTACTGTATTTATCATATTAAGTCAAATAATGCCCACCTTGGCCCAACGGCTACTCTAGCAGCCAAACTGGGCATTTAATTTTTTTGTTGATGCTTTTTATCGAATTTCGTATATAGAGAATAAGCTATTTATTAAGTAATGTGGATTTATTTTTATTTTTACAGATCGAAATTGGAGAAGTCTGGTTCTAAAGAAAAATACAGAAAACATAAGTGAGTAGGTCTATGACTTAGGCATTTGATTTCTGTTCATATAATAACTATCTGGCCGTCTTTGTGTAACAGGTTTTTTCTTTTCTTTTTTTCCTGTATGTAGCTTGAGTTTGTCGTAGCTAATAGTTTGTTTTATCACTGATCACTGTGTGAAAAAAACTTGGGCTTCCTCGTTCCAAATTAGAACAACATGTCTTAGGTATTTCACAAACTGCTGTCACTTCGACCAAAGGCAAAGTGTCGTGTATACTGAAGCCTACCAAAGCTCATACTCCTCTAATTCCAACTACTGCTATTGTCTTGAACAAGATTACTTCTCCTTTACCGTCTGTACGGTTAACCAAGGACATTATCAATCATTTTAAGGATTGGAATTTAGCCGACCCACATTTTTATGAGCCTTCACCGGTTGACTTCCTCATTGGAGCTGATTTATTCCCCTTGATTTGTGACGGTGGGCGGTCAAATAGCCCTCCTGGATTCCCTACTCCATTCAAAACCATTTATGGATGGACCTTAATTGGTAGAACCAGTCTGTCTTATTTTGAAAACCAACCAACTTGATCTTCTATCTGCACTAACTTGTCCATTACTGAGTCCTCACTTGAGAAACATCTCAAACTATTTTGGGAACTTGAAGATTTACCACAATCTAAGCCAATAAGTCCTGAAGATCAAGCATGTGAGAGAATATTCGTTAAAACACATTCCAGGGATCCTTCTGGAAGATATATTGTTCGACTTCCGTTCTGTGAAAATCCAGTTGACTTGGGAAACACTTTCCACCATGCAGAACGTAACTTTCACGCTCTTGAGCGACGTTTCCAGAGTGATTTCAACTTCAAATCGGCCTATGTAAATTTCATGAAGGAATATGAGGATTTAGGCCATATGACTCAGCTTCATTCTTCAACTTCGACTACTTCAACCTACGTTATTCCGCATCATGGAGTTTTTAAGAACTCAGATCAAAATCCTAAATTGAGAGTTGTATTCAACGCCTCAGCCCGCATGCTAGGCTATATTATTTTAGCCTTTTTTGCTTGGAGCAACCTGGTTTAAATCTCCTCTAACAATATTGTTTTTCCGCCCAATATGGAACTTGGCATAGTACTTAATGAACTAATTAATACCTGTACGAACCTATTTCGTCTTTATTCATATATTATATTAAGACAAAAAAGTCATAATTATTATAGCTAACGTCATCCCTGGTTTATATAGTATACAGTAGCCTACATTGCGGAATTGACTGGCAAATACAGTGGAACCTCTTTAATCCGAACCCCTGTAATCCGAACGTCCACTAATCCGAACACCTCATTGCTGTACACTATACACAGTACAGTAGTTCTATATTCTATACTGTATTTAATGTACAGTTCTGTTTATTCACTGTGCTTACTACTGTATTGAATAAACACTGTATTTTACTTTATAAAGCATTTTTTAACTTTTCCCATAGCAATTACAATCCATTTTAGCCTTGTTTTAGCTATTGTTATGTAAAAACAACAGTATGTTCTGTAATCCGAACTATTCAATAGTCCAAACTACCCCCGGTCCCAATTAGTTCGGATTAAAGAGGTTCTACTGTAAGTAATCCAAATGTAATATTGCTTACTGGCTTAATGATAAATCACGATCAGCTGGATTGAAGTAAACAAAAATCTGCAGTAAATGGCTTTTAATGCTATTCTTATGGAGAACATTTTACGTTATATCTAATTATGTATTACAATTTCGGGAATTTCAATATTTTTCCCATCGTCACGGGATCGAGACCTTTAATTTGAGCCCTCTCCCGTCGTTCTACGACTTCCTAGTCGCCCACAATTTAGACGCAAAGAATCGGCTTACGTAATTAATATATAGATAGATTGAAGTATACAACTGGCACTATCAGTGGCAATTGGAAACGATGTTCGCCATGCGAGGCTGAGTTCACACTGAAGCAAGGTTGTTAAACATCTAGATGTTCTCTAAACGGTAATTTCGACAAGATTTCGTTTTGACTGTATACTTTGGTTTTAAAATTTTACTACCAGCAATGTCAAGCTCTACATTTGTGATATTTAAAAATAATTATCTATTGCTGGATTGACAGTAGCTTTTATTTTAAGAATAGAATAGAATAGAATACATATTTATTTTCTCAAAGAACTTACAATGTCTCAAAGAATTTTCAGACCATGTCCGTAATATTTTTTTAAATAATTTTCGCTGAGACAAAACATTTAGCTATTTAAATAAAAATTGTCGTGACCAAAGCCATAAGGGCTTTTGCTGGTGTTATTTAAATAGGAAATATATGTGAAATGTTCAAGGAAATTGTTGCAGGTTTGCTAGGCGGGTTTCACATACTGTAGTACTTCACATTTTTTTTATCTGTGTGATGTCTTACAGATCCAATGTGGAAGAAAAAATTATGCAAGATAAGACAGAAGAGGACAATATCAGACATAAAGAATATATGTGAGTAAAGTTTTTAGTATTTATAATTGAAGGTAACATAACGTTTGAGTCATCATTCATCATTTTTTAACCGACTTCCCCACTACCAACAAAAGGAGGAGGTTCTCAATTTGTTTGTGGCGATGTTTTTTTTTTTCTATGTATGTTCACCAATTTCTTTGTGATTCTTTTACCGATCAGTGTGGTTCCACCACCAAAATAACCAGGAGAGTTTCTATTTGGTACCTTATATATTATGTTTAAGTATAATATTTGTTTCGGTGAAAAATTCTGAAAACCTTAAATATTTAACATTTATTTTGTTTACATTTGTGCAGATTGTTTACATTTGTGCAGAGAAGGCAATAAATAATAATAACATTCCTACAGCTGTTAGTTGAAACCATTTAAATGAAGCTACAGACAATTCTTCATGAAACAGTTGCTTCATATTGATCAATAAACTATTTCTTGCCATGGAGCCTGAATGAATTACATTGAGAAAAATGCATTTTGTTTTGGTTACTATAAAAAATGTATTTTAAAGTTTGACCTGATTTGTGTATACAGTAATTCTGTTTTTAGTATTGAATATTCTGACTTACAAAAACATATATGTTTCAATGAATAGCTGTATGATATTGACAAATAAAGGTGTATTGTGAAAACCAAAGCAATCGTAAAACAGGTCTAAATATAAATTAAATGCATTTATTCCATACACGACCTAAGAAGTGTGACAGTGCATAATCGTCAATTGTCTTAAAAGTGTTAAATATTAGCGAATTTCCCTATAGGGAAGTAGCTATTACCGTAGGTCTCATGGTAAGACCTAAGCCCGGGACCGATTTACTTTTTCATTTTGATGTCCCCAGAGGCCAAAAACACCATTCGTTCAAATTTTTATTTATCTATTTATCTATTCATGTCACTTCTGGGCCAAAAACGGAGCCACTCAAAAATTAAATGAATTTTCCTATTTTTTTATACAATATGCTATATTTTTTACCCTTTTAGGTCAATTTCTAACATTTTCATATTTTTCTAGAAAAAGTATATAATTTTGATGAAATTTTCATGAATATGTCTATATTTTCCATAAAATTTACTACAAAACAAAATGTTTTTAAAAACAAGTAAAATTTTTAAATTTATTGAGTAGTTTTTATACAAATTTAACTAAAACAGTTTCTTTATCTTTGAATGTTTTAATTTCAGTAATAATTAAGTTTAAATCTTTTTTATTTAATTCTTTAATTGTTTTTTCATCAAATATATTAATAAATCTATGAGGCAAATGAACTTTACATTTTTCTAATTCAACAATAACTGTTGGTCCATATTTATCTTTAACTTTTTCAAATTTTTCTATTTTATATTTTGTATTCAATTCTAAACTTTTTATTGGTTTATATTCTTTGAATTTACATTCTCCAATATTATTAATCTCTTCTAATAGATCCATTTATTACAAAAATAATTATAAACATTTTAAACAGTTAATAATTGAAATATATGAAAAGAATTTTAAATATCACACAACAGTTTGTTAGAACTATATATGATATATATTTAGATGAATATATATCATCTAAATAGATAATATATGAATAGATGAATATTGATATATTATAGATAGATGAATATTCTATTTTTTTAATAATATCTGATGTATCACTTATGTTATCAGAAAAACCATTATGTTGATATATTATGCATGGATCATTTAAAGTTGATAGATGTTTTAGGAATTTTAAAAAAATATCATCAAATTCTGACTTTATATAAAAATTCAATTCTAAAAGTTTAAAAATCATTGGTAATAGTTTCTTAAATGATATATTTCTTTTTGTAAAACTGAAATATGCATTAAAAATGACTGTAATATTTCTTTTATCTTCAAAATTTAATTCAAAATCAATATTGAATATTTTGTTTAAGAATTGATAGTAAAATATCCAGTTTGTATAATTTCTTTGTTTTAAGAATAATTTTATATTTTTAGGTGTTATTTCAAAACTATTGTCTAAAATACATAATGTATAGATTTCATTGATTAATTGTTGTGTACGATATGGTTGAAAATGATTAAATTCTCTTAAAATATTTATAAGATGTTTGTTCTTATTTTTTCGTCTATTAATTTTTTTTTTCAGAAATAATTCTTTTACATATATTACATCCTATACAATTTTTAATAATTGTAAAGTTATTAAAATTATGACATCTATAACATATATCCATTTATATATAAAATAATTATATCTAAATGGAAGAACTTATTCAGTGTCATAAATGTAAGAAGAAAACTAAAAATATTAATCCAGAAATTGTTGAAATGAAGAATGGTTTGTTTAGAATTGCTACGAAGTGTTCAATATGTAAAACAAATGAAAGTAAAATAATTAAAAAGGAAATTAAACCAATAATAAAAAAGGAATTGAATAAAAAAGATCAAATAATTGAAGCTAAAGAAATTCATGCTCTAATAAGAAAAAAATTTCCAAAAAGAAAGATAGATTACATTAGGTATTGATGATTTATGGGCAGCTGATTTAATCATTATGAAAAATTATGAAAAAGAAAATGATGGTTATAAATATATGTTGAATGTTATTGATACATTTTCTAAATATGTTTGGTCAAAACCTTTAAAGAAAAAAGATGCAAAATGTGTATCTATAGCATTTGAACAAATTATAAAAGATGCAATAAAAATTGGTCATAAATCACCAAACTTATTACATACAGATAAAGGACTAGAATTTATAAATAAAGAATTTAATGGAGTTTTAAAAAAGTATAATATTAAATTGTATCACACAGAAAATGAAGAAAAATCAAGTATTATTGAAAGATATAACAGGACTCAAAATGAAAAAATGAAAGTTCTATTTGAAATTAATAAAAATTTTAGATGGATTGATATTCTTCAAAAAATAGTTAAAGAATATAATAATTCATATCATTCAACAATTAAAATGAAACCAATTGATGTAAATAAAGAAAATGAAAATTATTTATTAGATACAGTTTTTAAATATATCCCACCAAAAATAATTACAAAATCTAAATTTAAAATAAATGATAGAGTTAGAATAGGAAACAAAAAATCAACTTTTTCAAATAAATATAAAAACAATTGGTCAAGAGAAATATTTCTTGTTTCCAGAATTAATAATACAAATCCTGTTACATATAGTATTAAAGACTTGAATGATGAAGATATACTTGGTAGTTTTTATGATTACGAATTGAAGAAAACTAATTTGTAAAATTTTATACTATATAAATGGAGAAGGAATGTTCAAAGTGTAAACAATTAAAAAATATTAATAATTTTTATAAAAATAAAAAATATAAAGATGGATTACTTTCATATTGTAAAGAATGTGATTTAATTTATAGAAAAAAGTTATATGATAATATTATAGTAGAAGAAAAAAGTGAAAAAGTATGTTTGAATTGTAAGGTAACAAAAGATATGGAAAATTTTCATAAACATTATTATAGTAAAGATAAAAAATTTGCAATTTGTATTGAATGTGTTAGAAAAATGATGAGAGTCACAACCCATTGTGAATGTGGTAGAGATTTAAAATGGCTTAGTTATCTTCAAAAACATTTACAAACTAAAATTCATAATAAAAACATAAATAAATTAGAAAATTCATAAAAATAATATTAATTTTTGAAAGTATTATTTAAAAAAATTACTGGTTTTAAAAAAGTTTAAGTTTTATTTAAAATACTAATTTTTGAATTAATACATAAATATTTATCTTAATATTCATATTTTACAACAACAATTATTTTCAAATAAAATTATTTTTAATAAATCGTGCAAATTTTTCCCCTAATAAATGGAGCGTACAAATAAAAATATATTATGCCCTTATTGTAATAAGAATATATTATCTAAAAATTATAATAGACATTATAATTCAAAGAAACATTTTGAAAATAAAACTAAATATGAAACTGAAGTTAATAACTTAAAACTTTGGTGTAAACAAAATAAAATAGTTGATTATCAAAACGAAAATTTAGATCAATTAAAAGAATTAAAGAAGTCATATGATCCAACAAATTATTCACTATTTAACAGTGAAAAATTAAAAGAAATTGCTAACAAATTATCTGTTAGAAATGTTGACAATTTAAATAGAGATGAACTAATTAAAAGATTAAATAATATCAAACAAAATCCTAATAATCTAAAATATAGATCATTACAATTTATTCAAAATCTATCAATTAAAAATGGTATTAAAATAAAAGATAAAACTAGAAAAGAATTGATTGGATTATAACTGATCATTTAAAAAATAAACCAATTCCAAAGGAAAATGTAATAAATATTCAGGAAGTGTCATCATTAAAAGGTTATTTTCAAGAGTATTATTTAACAAATTCAAATGATGATTTAGATATATCTGAATATTTAGAATCACAAAGAAATGAAATTAAAAAATTGATTGAAAACAAGAATTTAAAAATAAAAGAGGTCAGTTATCATTATCTTGTGAATATGAAAGACAATTAGTTGGTGATAGTCAAAAAACCCAAATGTATTATCCTTTAAGAAGTTCAGATATATTAAACACTGATGAATTTATTGATGATCAATTCAAAAAATTAATATTAAGAGAAAATTTAAATCAACCATCAAAAGGATCTGGTTGGTCATTAAAAAGATGTTTAGATTTAAATTTAAAACTAAGTAAACATAATTCATTAAATGGTGGTTCATATGTTGAATTACCAATTGAAATAAAAAATAAAAAGTGTTGTATAAATTTCAAAAATAAAGATGAATATTGTTTTATTTATGCAATTAGATGTGCTATTGATAAATATGAAGATAAAAAGTTTGATCATCCACATAGAGTAAAACAATATAAAAATTACTTGAATGATGAAATTTTTAAAGAATTTGATTATCCAATGAGTTTAAAAGATATAAAATTATTTGAAAAAAGATCATTTGATTCTAAATATAATTATCCATCCATGTCAAT